TCTTTAATGATGAAAATCACCATGAGAAGGTGATTGGATACTTTTGAGCCAAGACCCATATGGCAACTTCTAGAACTAGTTCTGGTGACATAGTGCCTAAGGCATTTGACTGCTAACCAGAAGGCTGGTGGTTCACACCCACCAGCCACTCCTCAGAAGGAAGATTGGGTAATCTAGTTCCATAGTGACACTGCTTCGGAAACACAAGGAGGAGTTGCTGTGAGTCAGATCCGACTGGGCAGCAATTTTTTTTTTTTTTTTTTTAAGGACTAGACTCAACAGCATTCCTGAGTTTATAAGTCACTCTTCCTCTCTTTTTCTTCCTTTATAACCAACTATTGGGATTCACATCTGGGGATTCATCTCTGTTTTAGGAGACAGAGGGATTGAATGTGGCTCAATTTCCAAACAAGGGAGCTGAGAAACCAGGCTTGGCATCTCTGCAGACAGAGTAAAATTCTAAAATTATATTCCAGAATTGCTACAACAGAGACACCGGCACCACCACCACTGGACAGGTATCTACTGCTTGTAACCTCAGCTATCCTTTGTTGCAATCCCCAGGCTGCTACCCTTCTGCTTCTAAGACTGGATGCATCTTCTCCCAACCTCTCTAGAATACATTCCACGGCACATACTTCTTTCCATTGCTTTTATGTTTAAAGTCTGATGCATGTGTGTGCATGTGTCTGACTGACGAAGCCTTGGTCACTTGCCTCCATGCTCTTTGGCAGGGGCACTGTAATGGATTTAGGGAATTATGAACTTTGTGTTGACTTTGACAATGACTATTTTATCTTGAGCAAGATATTACATTCAATGGAGCTGTAGTTTATAAGATCCTATCTACATCTAAGTCCTGCATTTATTGGAGTGGTGTCAATCATTACTTTGGGGCCATCAGAGATAAAGGCCTCTGACATAGAGAAAGAATCTTAACATAAGAGTCCAAAAGCAGAGGTTTAGCAAATGTCTTGTACCCTCTGTAGGTCCTTTATCCTATTTGAATTGGATAGTCTTCTACTGGTTTTCCACCTGTTGTATTTGAGTGAATTGACCTAGCTATCATCTTTGTATATTTCTTGATTCCCAACTTGTGTATATTTTTCTGTTCATTAGAATACCACCTGTAAGAGATTAAAAGAAAACGATTCTACTTAAAGAACTAAGTTAATGAAGCAAAATCTGCCTCATTTCCATCTCCCTTTTTAATTTTGTACAGATAACTATATTTAAACTCTTTCTAATTTAATTTATTTTAATCTAGAATATTTATGCTTATTTAATTTACTAATTCTTCACTATGAAAGATGAGAATCTTAGTGCATTGACTGATCAACTTTAACTTTTAATTTATGTTATATTTTTATTTGAATCATGTCAAGGTTTGTAATATTTACATTTTGTTTTATTACTATAATTAAGGCTTACATGCTTTGTATATAGGTGATTAAAAGATTCAAATCCTACACTGTACATTTATATATAATTTATTTTTCACTGCAGAGTAAAACTGTGTGATAGGATTCGTAGAGAAAAACTGTAATCCCGTATTATTAAACTCTTGGCTTTTAAAGCATCAGTGTCTAAAGAAGTATCTTTAAATTTCTTTTCAGATGAAAACTATTCCCTTAAGGCTTACTCAGAGAAGTAGCTAGTTAATCCACCACCCATTTGTCAGTTTGTTCTACTGTGGTAGTTTGTGCATTGTTGTGATCTGGAATCTATGTCATTGGTATTCCAAATACTGGTAGGGTCATCCAGGATGGAGAAGTTTAAGTGAAGCTTGTAGATTCAGACAGACTAGGAAGAAAGGCCTGGTGATCTACTTCTATGAATTAGCCAGTAAAAACCATATGGCTCACAATAGAACACTCCAACTTGCTTGCTTTGGACCCATCCTCATGAGCAATCAATAGTTAGAGGAGGACATCTGGTTTGATGAAGTAGCAGACAAACATGAGCATAGGTGACCCTATGTGAGATTGATTAGCACCACAGCTACACTGCTGCACTCTAACATTCTTTTAATGGTGGGGATGACATAGGACTGAACAATGTTTTGTTCCGTTGATCATAAGGTTGCCATGAGTAGCAGTTGACTTGGCAGCTAAGAAGCCCAAAAACACCCTAGGTGATGCCCAATGCTTTTATGACTTTCATTACCATGCATATGATCAAGGCATCTACATTTCTCCAGCCCAAATCTTGTTTTTGAGGATCAGATCCATATATTCAATTGCCTACTGTACACTCCTACTTAGCTGTTTTCCATTGAGATGCCATCCAACATATTCAAAAGCACACCCATCTTCTCCCTGTTCCACCTTCTCAGTTCCCTCACCCATCCACTGATCTAAGCCTGATTTATCCATGAACTTTTTCTCTCTAATCTTCATCATACATGAAGTTATTTTGTTTATAATACCTAAATATTTCTAGAATTATTTTCTCTCCATGTTCATTTGGGTTCCCTATGTGTTGGGTCTGAGATGGAGCTTTTTCTGAAAATGATTTATGAGAATAAATGAAGCAAGTGAAGAAGACTATGGAAGATGTAAGAATAGATATGTCCTCAGTTGGAGTCTGGCTTTATCTTATAGCCATGCAACCTCTGGGGTACAAATTTCACTACAGAGCTGGACACACCTTGAGGTCTTTTGTACTTATTGCCACTCATCATTGGACACTCGAGGGCTCTGGGGTTCCAAGTATGACCCTCCATCCATGTTAGCCATCCAAAATTTTCTCTGATACAATTTTCCAGAATGGGCTGGCAATGTGAACTGTTGGTAGCCCAGAGTCACAGCAGCTGGGTCATGGGTACACTGACACTGTATCCTCACTGGCAAAACCAGAGTCAAGATCTCCATTCTTTCCTATCAAGTCATTATGACAAACTACTAACAGCTGTTCCATTTCTAGTCTTATTCCCATAGAGCAGCTAAGGCTGATATTCTAAAACTTAAGTCCAAGCACATCATTTACTGGCTTGAAAGTTTTTCTACTTTCATCAGTATTTAGCCCTAATATGGCTGTGGGACTCTTCTTGATTTACTTTGTTCCTGTCTCTCCAGCTTCATGTCTTGCTATTCTGTCCTTTGTTGTTGTTGTTGTTGTTATGTGCCATCGAGTCAGCCCTGACTCATAGCGACCCCTCCTTGGGTTTCCGAGGCAGTATCACTACGGAAGTAGGATTGCCCAACCTTCCTTCCGAGGAGTGGCTGGTGGGTTTGAACCGCCAGCCTTCTGGTTAGCAGTCAAGTGCCTTAGCCACTATACTACCAGAGCTCCCATTCCGTCCTTACATGTCTTTATATATGCTAAGTGTCTCTTTTTACTCAAAACTGAGCTTCAGCAACTATTATGGGCATAATGCACTCCTTGAACTAAAAAATATGTGTTACTTAATAAATGAATGAGTGAATTAAGCAAGGAATGTGGTATATTTATGATTAAGTTGTTTTGTGTGTTGGCGGAACCATACATTTTTTTTCAAAACAACTTTTAATAATGAACTGTTACCAAAAATTAGTGAAAAGAGAAAAATAATACACAAAGCCTACATTCCTAAGATAATACAAATTAGATCAGAGCAGGGAGAAAGACTATCAAGGTAAAATTCCTTTTTAGAGACTGAGAAGCTTAGTTGCATTTCTTTCTCATTTTTCAGTTTAGGCAAGAATGAAACAAGTTTTTGTCCTCTTCAAGGTCTAGCTAGAATTCTTCTTATGATAAAAGTAGGGAAGAAGTCCCTAATGTCTAGTACTACTTTTTTCTCTACAATTTTATTCAGTTTGTTCAACTTCATTTATAATCTTAACTCTTCATTTAATGTTTATTATATGTCAAATATTGGGCTATATGGTAGAAAGTATTATATCTAGCAGACAAATACTTTATATATTATGGAATATGAATTTAATAAATGGAAATCTCTACCAAACTGTCATTTTTTTTTTCTTTTTTTACTGGAGCCATCAGTCTTTCTGATGGTTTGTCAACCTCAGATGGGTGACATGAACAATACAAAATGGTTCTGAAGCCCATGAAGGAAATTTGGAAACATAGCCAAATCTCCCTTACTTACCACTCTGAGATTAAGTGCTTTATTTTTTTAAAGCCCTAAAGTAGTTAGATATCATAGTATTACTATCAACAAATTACCATAAATTATGGTACATGGAAATTAGCAGATAAATTAGTAAAAATTATTAGATTTTTTGTTATCGATAATGAGCTAAAATATATAATGTCCCAGGTCAATAAAAGACAACTATTATGATTTTCTGACTTATCTATCATCTTTCCTGTACAGTGTATCATAACAATTAAGAACATGGTGAAATCAATGAGATTCTGTTTCCTGGCTCTTCAACATGTCTGCTTTGGTACCTTCCTCTTTCTTTCAGTTCCTTCCCTGTAAAATGGAAAAGTAGAAGTGCTGATCTCCAAAAGGGCAGCATTTGTCTGGAGATAAAACTCGGAAGGCAGGAACGAAGGATGAACGGAAGTGGTAAACACAGGGAGGAAGTTAGAAGAATGCCCTTTACATTGTGGGGATTACAATCAATGTCATGAATCAAAATGTGTATGAACTGTTGAATGGAAAACAAATTTGCTCTTTAAACTTTCACCCTAATTACAATAAAAAGTAAAACAAAAAAAAAATGCTGGTATGTTTACATTTGTTTACAAATTATTACCCAATTCCAATTAATTTTATTATATCTTATTTTTATTAAAGGAGAAGCTTATGCACCTATTTACATGGATTATGCTGGTAAAACTAAGTTTGAATTTGGCAAAATTTTCAAGTATGTAAAGAATGCTCCTCCTGGTTTGCTCTCTTTTCTTGTACCTATTTCTAATTCACTGAATGCAAAACTTATGAATTGTAATTATCAGTTTTTTTTTTTTCTGTATACCATACATATTTCTTTCCGAGATTCTCGTAAATGTTCTTTTGATCCTTTCCTCATTTGAATTATTCTTAAGATCTAGAGGTATTTGTCATCTGAAATAGCTTTCTTAGTGCACAACTTCATAATGGCATTTTTCATTTGGGCATTTCTGAAGGTATAGATTAAAGGATTTAACATAGGAGTTATGATGGTGTAGAATACAGCAACTGCTTTGTCAACAGGTAAAGTGGCCACGGGTCTCATGTACACAAATATGCAGGGTACAAAGAATAAGACGACCACTGTGATGTGGGAAACACAAGTTGAGAGGGCTTTGCGCCTTCCTTCTAAGCTGTGGGTCCTTAGGGAGTACAAGATGACCACATAGGAGACCAGAAGGAGGAGAAAGTTTAAAAGGCAGATGAACCCACTGTTGGCAGCAACAAAGAGTCCTAGAGTATGCGTGTCTGTGCAGGCAAGTTTGAGCAAAGGATTCAGATCACACATAAAGTGATCTATGATGTTTGGGCCACAGAAGGGTAATCGGAACATGAAAAGGATCTGTATGGTTGCATGAAGAAAGCCTCCAGCCCAGGAGACTACCACTAGCAGACCACACAATCTCCGGTTCATGATGGCAGTGTAGTGCAAGGGCTTGCAGATGGCCACATAACGGTCATAAGCCATCACAGTAAGAAGGATGACCTCGGTACCTCCAAAGAAATGTTCTGCAAAGATTTGGGTCATACATCCATTGAATATGGTGGTCTTCTTTTCACGGACTGAATCTACAATGAGTTTAGGGGTATTAACAGAGGAATAGCAAGCATCAATAAAGGAGAGATAGGCCAGGAAATAGTACATGGGGGAGCCCAACAATGGGCTGGTGGTGATGGTGATCACAATGAGTATATTTCCTACCACAGTGGTGATGTAGATGACCAAAAACACAGCAAATACGATTTTCTGCATCTCTGGATTTTCTGTAAGCCCCAGTAGAATAAATTCCGTCACGTTGTTCTTATTCTCCATATATGTCATATGACCATTGGTTACATTATCTGAAAAGAAAAGAAAAAATATTAAAACAACCTTGAATTTATTAAGGCTTTTTATTATAATAAAAAATAAATATCTCGATTCTATTGATTTTTGAATTTTTATGAGAGGTAAATAAAATGTGGGGCATTTTATTTGTTTGTTTCATTTTGGTAAATATATATGTAAGAAAGCATTTACTATTTCCACATTCTTCAAAAGTATAATTCAGTGGCATTAACTTATGTACATTATATTTTTCAACTATCTCCATTATCCATTTTCAAATTTTCATCACCTTTAATAGAAACTCTGTGTCACCTAAGTGTTGAGTCCTCCTTTTCTATCCCCTCTGCCAGCTCCTACTATTCACTAATAAACTTTGGTCTGTATACACTTGTTTTTCTAGATATTTCATTTCAGTGGGATCAGTATTTATCCTTTTGTGACAAACTCAGTTTACTAAGCATAAAGTTTTCAATGTTCACCCTTGTTTCAGCATGTATCAGGATTTGGATTCTCTGCATGTCTGAATAATACTCCAACATATGTATGTAACATATTTTATTTGTACATTCATTTGTTGATAGACATTTAGGCTTTTCCTCCACATTTTGCCTTTTGTTAATAGTTCTACAATGGAATTAGATGTACAAATACCTGTTTGCATTTATGATTTCTTTTCTTTTGGGTATACTCCTAGGAATTGTGAGTTATTGAAGATTAGTCTAACTGCTTTCTGGGTGAAAATTTTGTTAAGAATGTAGACATGAGAGACTTTTGCATATGCACATGGCTAGAGATCATCTGTGTACACTGTAATGAAGAGTACACGTAGTGGTCAATTAGCCATTGGTGTAAATTTGTATTTTACTCTTTAAGAGATAGAGACCTCAGAATATGAGTGGAAGGATGCTGAATAAGTTGAGGAAGAAGGACACTTGGGATATGATACTAGTAAAGATTTTTATTTGTTTTGAATGAAGTTCACAAAGTTGGTGGAAGCCAGTGACAGGAATATCAAATTAGCTGACCATATAAAGTAGTTGATATCGGAATACAGGACATTGGTGATGGGAATAAAAGGAGAGGATATAAAAGTCATTAGAAAAGATATCATAATGCTTATTGTCTAAATCCAAGATATTTTGTTACATCTAATACTATATACAGAAGCAAGACTGGGCAATCTACTTCTGTAAAGATTTACTGCCTCAGAAACCCAGTGGGGGTCACTAAGAGTCAGAATCAACTCAAGGTCAGTGGGTTTTTTTTTTGTTTGTTTGTTTTGTTTTTTTGGTTAATACTACATACATCTTAATGACTTGTTGCTCTGTGTGCTATGTGGTAGTAAGAAATCCTTTGTGATCTATAAAATACATGAGTCATACCTTTGCAGAAGTGATTTCATTTAATCCTTATAAGAACATGTGGTTGCTATTATTTCATGCACTGTGCAGAATAGGAGACAATTTCAGAGACTAATGTTCATGACTATGATAACAGTGATACTAGTAACTGAAAGTTACTGAGCACTTGATATGTTCTAAGTCTTTTGCAGACATGCTGATTGATCCTTATTACATACCTATGAGATTGTTACTACTATCACTTTTATATTTATTTTATAAATGTACTTATTATACAGGAGCTCTGGTGGCATAGTGCCTAAGGCAATTGACTGTTAACCAGAAGGCTGGTGGTTCAAACCCACTGGCCACTCCTTGGATGGAAGGTTGAGCAATCTACTTCTGTGGTGATATCACCTTGGAAACCCAAGGAGGGGTTGTTAGGGTCATTTTTATGCACATTAGGAAATAGATGATCAGAGCATTGAGATTTTGGCCCCAAATCAAGTGGATACTAAAGTAGAAAAGCAAGTTTTTGCAAAGTAATTTCATCAGCAGCATATGTAAATATAGACATAAATAAATAGCATCTCAGAGTTTCCAAATATTAAGAAAAATGTGATACTTTTGTTCATTGAAGGGTCCCTTCATCTTGGCTTTTCATCAGCCTTGTTATTGTTGGTATTATCTAGTCAATCCCAACTCAAATCGACCATATGTCACAGAATACAATTGCCATATAGAGTTTCTAGGGCCCTGATCTTTACTGGAGCAGCTTGCCAGGTCTGTTCCCCACTAAGTGTCCAGGGGTTCAAACTACTGACATTTGGGTTTGCAGCCGAGCACTTAACCATGCTCCTTTAGCCCCTACTCTACCCTCTTTAGGAGGTCTGATAGCATAATGCCTAAGGCACTTGACTGCTAACCAGAAGGCTGGCGGTTCAAACCCACCAGCCACTCCTCAGAAGGAAGGTTGGGCAATCTACTTCCGTAGTAATACTGCCTGAGAAACCCAGGGAGGGGTCGCTATTAGTCGGGGTCGACTCCACGGCACACAACAACAACTACCCTCTTTAATCCTCTGGCGAAGTACAGCCCCAAACTCTTCAGCAAAAATGTTGAGAATGACTTTCACAGTGGCTAAGTTCATCGGCTTTAGAGCAGAAAGACCAGATTTAGAATGTTTCATTTGCAACTCTTTTTATCTGAAAAACACATCTTGGCACTTTACATCTCTCTTCTCTTATCTGTAAAGAGAATAATAATGTTCACCTCACTGGTTGTTATGAGAATTGACTGGAGAGTAAATGTGATCACACCTGGCACAGTGTTAGAGACACACATAGCCTTTATTTACTCTGGTTTTATGACTGTGCATATATAATTGCAGTAGTAACACAGAGAAATATTTATTCACATAATAAGTACAAGAAGAATCATCTCCAATTTAAAGAAGCCAGAGAAACTTATATAAAAAAAAAAACTGGATTCCAGGAATGGTTCTCCTAGTCATAGCCATGACTTTTATGTGTAATGTGTATTTAAAAGATGTTTTCTTCCTCATTATTAGTCTTAATTATTAAATGAAGTTGTCTCCTGGCAGAAGCATGGTTCATGGTGTGAGAGAGCTATGTTGTAATTCTACAGATTGTTTAATCTCTGTGAACTCCAACTGTGCTATTTGAATGAGGTTAATTATAGTCATTCAAATATTTTGAATGTTTGGAGTAAAGAGGAAATACTTTATTACCATATGTGGAAATTGTTGAAAAATAGTGATTTATCTATATGAATAAGAAAGATCTTAAATAAGAGACAACACTATTAGAGACTCACCTTAGTGGGTTTTAGAGATGACATCAAGGACATTTAAGGTGTTGAGTAACAATTCCATCTTCTAATTGACCTCCTCTTGAAATAAATAACATTCTATAGGAAAGATCTGACACACTCGGCAAGAGAATATTAAGAAAATCCAACATCAAAGTAAAAATTTATTAACTGATTATGTGAGTCTATATCTTTCCTTCTAGTCTGAAAACTCAAAACATTTTTTCCCAGAAAGTCTGGGATTTGAATTTAGAATGGATTCATGTGAAACACTAAAGATAACTCATGGCTCTGGTTGGGCTTTGCCAGAGGCAGAAATTGTGGAGGAAATACATTTAAATGAATCACTCCACTCATGGTGAATCTTGTTCTGAAAATGTGAAAAGAATAAAATCATTTTCACGTTGCACTACAAAGATATTTAAAGAAGTTTCCATAAAAGTCCAGGGACCGTGTCTGCTCTCTCAGGAATAAATTATTGCCTTTGAGTGACAGACATCCTGGAAAGACATGCTTAAGAATGTCTGCTCTTGAATAGAGACACGTGGCACCTAACCATGTGGGAGCTTCCTTTCTCTCCCAAAACCTGGGTTGTCATGGAAGCTGAATGCCATGTGGGCAGCAGGGTGGCACGATTCCTGTGTGTAGACTGTGATGTAGTTTCTCTATTGACTCATGTCACAGAGGGACCTTCTGTTTTCTCATCAATATTAAACCTTTTCTGGAAATCCATTATTGATTGCATGAGAGCTAGGGCAGCAGAGCATAAACGTATGGTTGACATTTTAAAGCACTTGTCTCCAAAAGTTGTTTTTCACATTTCAGAAAAGTTTTTGGAAGTAACCACAATCCTCAGAAGGTGCCAGGTTACTGTATTCTCTGGGACTGATGGGTTGGTCAGGAAGGTACACCACATACCCACTGCCATCCAGTTGATTCTGACTCAGTGACCCTAAAGGACAGAGTAGGCTTGTCCCATCGGGTATCCAAGGCTGTAAATCTTACAGAAGCAGAGTGTAATCTTTCTTCTGCTGAGCTTCTGGTGGGTGCAAATCAATGACCTTTTGATTAGCATCCAAGCACTTTAAGCACTGCACCATCATGGCTCCCTGGTCAGAAAGCTAGGCAGCATTAAAAATTAGACAGATAATGTAAAACAGAAGAGATTTCTGGTTGTGCCACATCTTTGTCAACTGGTGTTTTTAGCTGTTTTTCTTTTAGTCATTCTAAGGCTTGTGAGTTGAATCGCCTCCACAGCAGTGAGGTGTTTTTTTTTTTTTTTTCCCCGTGTTGTGTGTAGGAACTCTGGTGGTGCAGTGCCTAAGGCATTTGACTGCTCACCAGAAGGTTGGAAGTTCAAATCCACCAGCCATAGCACAGAAGGAAGATAGGGCAATCTACTTCTGTGAAGATTTACTGCCCTGGAAACCCAATGGGGGTCCCTATGAGTAGGAATTGACTCATTGGCAGTGAGTTTAAGGAGCTTATTTTGTTATTATTGTATACTGTAGAGTAGATTCCAAATAATATTGACCCCAAGTGACTGAGTGGAATTACCCCAAAGGGTTTTCTAAGCTACAGTCTTTATAGGAGGAGTCCTGATGATCTTGTCATTAAGTGCTCTGGGGCTAACCAAACTGTAAGGGATGTGAACACACCAGTTGCCCCATTGGTAACAATAGCATTGCTGTTCAATTCTATCAAGTTTTTAAAAAATCTTTGCAGGGAGTGATTGGCAGGTCTTTCTCCCACAGAATGAATGGGTCAGTTCAAATCACCACCTTTCATTTAGTAAGTGAGCACATAATCCTTGAC